ATAGATAGATAGATAGATAGATAGATAGATAGATAGATAGATAGATAGATAGATAAATAGATAGATAGACAGCATTTGTATTGCCCAAATTCCTGCTTAAAGCAAGTTCTCTACGCTATACAATCTACGTATTATTATATTATTATACTATTACCCCTGCATACCTGACAGCATTCTGAAACAATCCCAACTTCCTGAGAAGCATACAGTGCAAGTTGCCATCTTTTGTCGCTAAAGCACTAACATACTGACAAGATTTTTCGCTGCCTATGGCCGGGTACCATTCCAATCTGGATGAAGTGAGGAACATTCGTGTAAAGTGCTTTTCTCAAGGACAGAAACGTCGAGCCTCAAGCTCAAACCCCCGAACCAGCAACATCACGATTACGAGTACGTTAGCCTAACCCCTAGACTACCGATGCACCGTGTTATCCGATCCAAAAAGGAAAGAAGAGAAGACAACGATCAGTTAGTCTATGTCACCAGGACTTCCTAAATGCTACTTTCAGACTATAAAAAAACTCAAAATAAAACCAAAAAGAAATAGGTTTGCCATCGCAGTAATACACGGTTGATCTTCAATGCTTTCTTTCTTAAAAACCCAAATTGTTGAGACTTCAGGTTTGCAGAAAGTGGATGGCTTAGCAGTTTTTAGACCAATTCACTAAATAAAAACCTGATGGGAAAAAAATTGAATATATACAAAATTTTCCTGTCTCAATTACAGAAACCAAAGAGAGAATCATCAAACTAGCCAATATGGGGCATAGGAATAAGACGAAAAGATGACTAAAATGTCATATTATGAAAAGAAGGCGTTGTTATGCATCTCTGTCATAGTATAAGCAGCATCACAACAAACTCCAGACTTACCATTTTGTCTCGTTGGCTGTATCTTGATCGTAAGATGGCAACACCTCTGTTTTAGGTGGTTTTTATAGGAAATAATAGCGTTCACATTGCAGAGAGGTAAACGGGACTGCTTAGCGTTTCTCCGCCTACGAGAAATAATCCTGACAATGGCTTGGAAGGGGCAAAAAACAAAACAAAAACAAAACAAACAAAACAGCCGAATAAATAGCACGCACGGTGAGGTGCACAAATATGTCTTCATGTTGGAAACAAAAAAGCCCTGTGTATATACTTGTTTGCTCCGAACTATCCTTTTATCTCACACAGATACAGCTGTCAATACTTCTTCAACAGGTGTCAGGTCTAGAGCAGACAATGACGCTCATGGTACCCCATTCCGCCCTGTTGCGCGTCATCCCCAAAGGCTTGGGGGTTTTTTTTCAGTGTGTTAATTGTTGCAATTGTTAGAGGAGAGCAGGAAGGCCTCGGACACGTCATTTCTCTCAAACTATTGATCGTACACACTTTGTTACTCATAACGTGGCGTGTCATCTGAGGCTAAACGTGCTGTCTTTGCCGCATCGCTATGCGAAACCTTGCTTTTGCTTTTGAACATATTTTTGACTAGATCTAGGGTGTACCTAAGTATTCATAACTTAGTTTGTGTGGTTGACACGTTACACAAATGCCGATTTAAAAAAAATTTAATAAAACTATGTATCCGAGCCTGAGGGTGTCCGTTACGTACCGAATTCATAAAATTAAACCTATTTCATGATGTCTGATTCATAAACATGCTTCTCCGAGGTAGCGTGTTCGAATGTGGACAGCGATGGAAAAAATGTTCTAAACTTTTCTCCTTTCACTTCCCTTCCTGAGCTCTAGATCTAACAATGTTTTGTCGTCTGCTGTCGTTTCCACTTTCTGCCTCCACCCCGTTACCCTCTTTGCCCCCTCCTCTGGGCTTCTGACTCTTTCTGCAGCCTCTCTACTGCTACTCCCTGGCTGCTTCTTACAACTGTTTTTCAGCTACACGCCTGATCTTATGATAGGTAAGACATAACACCTAGCCTCGGCGCCACTTGGGCAAAATTCAAAATTTCCTACCAATTAAAAAAGACAAAGAGGGTGACTTTGAGTATCTTACCAAAGAAAATCGAATAAGATAGTAATGCTTTCAACTATCAACCTGTGGAAGATTTGGCCATTGTAAAATGAGAGCAGTTCTCCCTCCTCCTATTCGAGGCTCAACAAAGAGGTCAAACAGTTCTTACAAGTTTGAGGTTAAAGTCCCCTCTGTGTTGGAAGTTCATCTTCTGCTAATGAAAGAGCAACACTTAATGTTCTTTTGGAAAAAGAAAATGCTGAGCTATTCATTTCAATCTGCAGACTTTGTTTCCTTTACCTTTTTGATTTGGTTGTGGTATAACGCCCCCAGAACACTGAACACTATAACTGCCATGTCAATTAAGATGGTGGATCTCCGATTTTATGTTCGTCTCTGTCAGGATGTAACGCGGCGCCATCCAAACTTATAAAATAGCCCATGTCCAAAAACACATATTCCTGGATTCGAACCACAGCCCATCGTTCAGAAAGAAGTAGTGATATTAGCTTAGCAAATAGTGCTCTCATCAAATCCAGACGTTTACAGACTTGGAAATGCACGTAAAAAATACTTTTTATCTCTCTTTATCGCCGCAAAAACTAGTTTGTTATTAGAGGTACCAGTGAGCTCTGTTTTACAATGATAAGGGGATGTTTCAAGTCATCACATACACGTGTGCATAAAAATGAACTGGTCTATAATATGGTTGGATTAATGTTTTCTACAAATTCAAGTGAGTGTGAAATACACGTTTACACCTCAAACAAAAGGTGGAAGTATAGACGTATTCTATCTTGAAGTTCTGCCTCTCAAAAATTAATTATATCTGATACACGAAACACACTGTCCAAAGTCACCTCTCTTCGTCCGAAGTTTCCCTTACTTTTGTCTAATGTCTCCCGCAGAGTGGGAGTGGTTTAGGACGTCTAAGGGTATCTCAGATTATATGATACTGTGGCATAAAAACACGAAGATGCACAAAACTGATACCGCTAGTGGTATTACCTAAGTGGCTTACACTAATGATGAAACATTTTTCTTTGGCTTAAATTGTTCCTGAATCGACCGGTGGCGCCAAGGCCAAAGCCTCCCCGCTCTCCTATACTTGTTGCAAAGCTATATTCAGCTCTTCTTTCCCACACAGAAAGAGTTAATTTAGTCCTTTTGATTCTATGTAGCCAAGGAGTTTCGGTTGTCTCATTCTGTTTGTTATGATTATAAATCTTTAAGATTGTACAATCTGACGTTTTAAGCACTTCTTATTTTGCTTCCCTCTCTTTCCATTAGATTATTTCCTTAAGTACCACATTTGGACAACGCACACGGCCTCCACTCTGCGTCTTTACCTAATAATAATAATAATAATAATAATAATAATAATAATGATAATAATAATAATAATAATAATAATAATAATAACAATAAGGAATATCATTTCTATAGCGCCCACTACCGTGTAAACACAGCTCTAGGCGCTTTACATACACGCACATACACACTCATACACACACAAACACACACACATACACATACACATACAAACACACACACACACACAAACACACACACACACACACACACACACACACACACACGCACACACACACATCTACTTGCTTATCACACGCGCACGCTTAAATATCGTCAAATGAGCACATATAATAAAATAATATACACAATGCAATTCACTAAATACATAAATGGATACCTAGTCATTTGCATAACATTATACTGAACATGAATCTACGGACATAAAAATGAGGTTGTTAAATGTGTCTTTAAAGATTTTTAAAATTTAGACTCAGATGTTGTATGCCTCAAGGGTTGGGGAAGAGAGTTCCAAACTGATGGAGCAAGGTGGGCAAACGATCTTTCGGCTAATTTTTTACCCCTTTTTCTAGGAACTCTTAAAAGATACTGATCGCCTGATCTTAGTGATCTAGATGAAACATAAATCTGGATGAGATCACTAAGATATGAGGGAGCTTTGTTATTGACACATTTATGACATATTATTGCAATTGTATATGACATTCTGGCTGACACGGGAAGCCAATGCAACGTTGTTAACATGGGAGTATTGTGGTCACTCTTCTTTTTCTATAGTACAAGCCTAGCTGCATGATTTTGAAAACGTTGTAACTTGTGAAGAGTGTTGTTTGATAAGTTAGCTAGTAAAGCATTGCAATAATCGACGCGTGAAAACAAGAAAGATGACACGAGCGTTTTCAACGAGTGTTCATTCAAAAACATAGACATATGACCAATTCTGCGCAATTCATAAAATAAAATGGTACATAAATAATTGATATGATGTTCCGTTGACAATTTTGAATCAAAATACACTCCCAGATTTTTTGCTTTATTAGTAAAATACAGTTTTTCATTTTCAGTACAAATATGACCAATGTCTTCGGGGATATGGCTTTTCTTTGGGTTATATAAAAGAATTTCAGTTTTATTTTCATTAAGCTGGAGCTTATTATCAACCATCCACTTTTTGACGTCATCAATGCACAGACCTATGGTAGTACGCAAGGTTTTGACATCTGATGGTGGAACAGATTTATATAACTGTATCGTCTGCGTACATGTGATAATTCATATTGTGCTTTCTGATCACAGCTCCAAGTGGCTGTGTATACAACGTATACAAGATTGGACCCATAATTGAACCTTGAGGCACTCCAAAGTCTAGTTTAAAAATTGACGAAACAGAGTCGTGCACAACCACAGATTGTGTACGGCCAATCAGGTAGGACCTGAACCAGTCAAGAACCCTGCCAGACAGGCCAAACGTGTTGAACAATCGTTCAATAAGAATAGTGGGATTTATAGTGTCAAAGGCAGCACTAAGATCAGGAAGAGAAATAATTGATATTTTGTTCTCATCCGCCTCACACAAGAGGTCGTTATATATTTTCAGTAGCGCAGTTTCTGTGTTATGAAATTGCCAATTGGCAGATTGATATAATTGGTATAAATTTTTGTTTTCTCTTCAATAGAACCAAAAAAACTTTCTCCATGACTTGTTTTATAAAAAGCGAAGGTTGAAGACAGGTCTGAAATTCTTGAGCTCCTCCGAGGAAAGATTAGATTTTTTGAGAAGGGGAATAACTAAAGCATACTTAAAGAGTGATGGTACTACCCCACACTGAAGAGACTCATTGATGATGGAAGTTATAAATCCAATGACACTATCAAGATGTGTGATGAGCAGTGGTGTTGGAATGGGATCAAGACTACATGTTTTATGGGGTGATAACATTAGGATTGATCTTACGTCTTCTTGTGTTACACGTACAAATTCATTAAAGATTACCCCAGAGATTGTTTCAAAACATGGTAGTTTATGGATAGTCATGTCAATTTTTTTTTCCTAATCGTGGATATCTTGTCTCTAAAGTATTGACCAAAAACATCAAGAAGGTCACTTTTAGGTACATTCGTGGGAAACTTGTTGCTGGCCGGATCTTTCTTACCAGACAACTGATTTGTTATACAAAATAAAGCTTTAGAGGTGGTACATTCATTAATTTTTCCGTTATTATACATGAATTTGGCAGATGTTAATAACAATTTCACTATGTTGTTACAATGTCTATAAATGTCCTCATGAATTTTCAGCTTGGTTGATCTCCAGCGTCTTTCAGCTCGTCTACGTTTCATTTTAGATAGTTTAATTTCCAAAGTCATCCGCGGGGCAGAAGGTCGATCAGTTACTGTTCTGGATTTGACAGGGTGTATGTTTGTTTAGTAGTTCACACATCTTGGTGTTGAACGTGTCTACCTTCTCGGAGGTTGAACCGTGTATGAATTTTAGAGCGAATGTCCGCTCCAAACTTTTCATTATCAATGTTCATTTTCCGGGTTGTTATTTTGCGGTGTCTCAGTTTGGGCTTCCCTATACGAGTTATTTCAAAGGACACCAGAAATGCATTTGTTCTTTACTTTTATTTCACCGATTTTATTGACACTGTCCGTAATCACCCAATCTAATGTGTGTTTTTTTTATGTGAGTGGGGACATCAATGTGTTGATAGAGAC